AGGTGCGTTCCAATGAGTCTTCCTACCAATATGACCATGTTGCGAAAACAAGGTCAAACAACCTCTGTAGAAACATTATCTCCAAAATATAACTAAAATGTTCCAATTTCTACAACCATGTAAATCTAAACCAGAAAACAATAATTTTGACGTCACCTTTTTTGCTCGTTCGAATTTTATATGATGCATTTTGTGTCGCGCAGACGTACTTTAATGTCGAGGACGAGGTTACTCAGTGTATATATGGAGATTACTACCCCATTGGTGATAGTATAGTTGGTAGTGACGACATAGAACAGTACAAACAATATTTGTTTGTACGTAGAAAACTAAGTTTCGAAGAATACCTCACTAGATTGATGTTTAATTATCCTATACTTCATTTGAAGAGGCGAGTGGAATGGACTCGTGAATTGGCCTGACATGAAGCTGAAAAGGATTGCCTTGGAGCTGCGACTGAAAATTCGTGCCAATATGTCTCAGAACATCTCCCTGCGACTGTGATGAATCATTGCTGAGCTATCGTCCATCATGTGACAGACATCGTTAGAGCAGAACACCAGGCTTTACTATAATATTGATGTCAATAATTTCATTTCGAATGGAACTACATGATGAAGAGAGTCGTAGGTCAATCTCACGAGAAGACGTCGGCTGATTTACGTTGTACTGAAGTCGTTTGGCCTTAATACGACGTTCAGATTGGTGCAGTGCACGAGACTTCCTCCAAAGTTTCAGGCGAAAACGGGCTGAGTTTTCGTTCGTGATGTGGCGAACTTCGTCAGAGCTGAGACTCATTTTTGTAAAAGCCTCAAGTTAACTCTAAGTCAAGAAGATTTACCGGCTTTTTTCATCGTGAGCAAAATTTCAGATATAGATGCATATAGAAAGGTTCGGTTAATTCACGTATACTCGAGTGTGTCTGTGTGTGTATATATGTTAATGTATGTACGCAAAACCGGCCAAAGCTCAGAGTAATTAGAAAAAAAGTTTGAGATCAGCCACAGTTCATCAAGGCTTACTGACCAAAGGAAAAGGGATAAGAAAAAAGGATGACCGAAATTGCGTTAGTCAGTAAGTAACACTGGTTAAATTGATGAGATTTAAGTATGTGCACGGGAAATTTAGGTTACGAAACCACCAACCCGAACCCATTAGTCTGGGTTATTAAGGTTTAATGACCTAAGGAGAAGCTTGGTTTGGATTGCACAGACCTATACTTCTGTTTTGGCTGATAAACTTGTCAAGTCTGTTAAATAAGTGTTAACTTTGTTAGAACCGCCACTCAGCTCGAAAATTGAGTTGCCTTTTTTTGTAAGGCGGCTCAACACCATCTCTCTCATTCGATCTTTCAATCAAGCATAGGTTTTTCCAACTTTTTACCACTGCTCCTTACACTCAACGTATTCCCTAATCTATTAATTTCAATAAGCTCTCTTATCTTGCGTTTCGTAGCAGACATACAGTACTCAGCAAACCATTGCATGCGAGACCATTGTATATCATGTCCAATCTGCGTCATGTGCTCCTCCACTTCTGACCGTTCGACCCAGCTACCTTAACAGACATTTTTGTGCTCCGATAATCTTTGGCGGATCGGTCGATAGGTCTCTGCAGCATAAGATCGACTACAGGAGCATATAACCTTATAACAGCTCGTTCTTAATAGTGGATCATACTTATCTCTAAAAGAAGGTGTAACCTGAGAAAGTGTCAGAGTTTCTTTGAAAATTGCCTTTATCCGTCATTCCCTCATTAGTTCTCCTATCCTCTTAAAAATAAAACATGGTGGGAAGATTAGAACGTGAGAAAGAGTCTCGGCTTGCCCCTATGTGACCAAATATTCTTCGCATGAGAATGTATTCCTCATTGCAGATATATTATTATCAATTAAATCCAAAGGATAATAAATCTCTAGGAAAAAAACTTTCAGTTTTCTTAACTCTTCGATCAGATGATTTTCATCTGCAAGCCTCATACTCCTAAGGATAATAGATTCTATAATTCTAACCTTAGCTTTATAACTATGGTTAGAAAGAAAATTAAGAACAAAACCAGCATATACTGAGTTTCTATATGCATCTTGGCCAAGCTTACGATCTTCTATGATAACCATGACGTCCAAAAACAGTAATTTCCTATTTTATTCTAATTCCATTGTGAATTTAATATTTCTTTCACCCTGGTTAAGTGAAAATAGGAGACTATTTAAACTATCCATACCATGCTGCCAGATCACAAAATAATCATCCATATATCTACCAAACAATATGAGAGTCAAAATGACTTCTTCCATTAAGTGTTCCTTAAACTTAGCCATGTAGTTATCCGCCAAAATTAGAGCCAAGCAAGAACCCATTTCGAGTCCTTGTGTCTGTTCAGAAAACTAGCCGCTAAAGGTAAAATATGTGCTACTCATAGAAAGTTTAAGGATCCTTAGCATGGAGACTATACTCAAAGTAATTCCCTCCATAATATCCTAATGCTCCTCCATCCGGCATTAGAGCCTGAATTGCTCCTTAAACTGGAATATTTGTATAAATTGATAACACGTCAAAATTAACGAATATAGCTTCTTCTGAAATATTCTGCCGCTCCACTAGTTTGGCAAACTCATAAGAGTTTTTTATCTAAAATAACAAAAATTCGGTCACTTTTCT